TTTTTTCAAAAATTCAGAAAAAAAAAAAATTAAACATTGTGATAAGAAAAAATAATAATATAATTTTATAGGTACGATATGAGAAAACTTTACATTGACTTTATAAAACTTTCATTACTACTCTCATATATGTATGTATTCGAAATCTAGACAAAAAAAAATGAATTTTTCAATAATTTTTGTTTATAAATAAAAAAAAAACATAAGAATATACAATAAAGGATAAAAAAAAAAATGAATTGAAATAATTCTTAGCGCTTCCCCATGAGTACGAAAAATCACACAAAAAACTAAATCGAAACAATATATTTAATTTTTTTAAGTTAATTATGCTTTACAATTTAAACTGTTCTCTTTCATGTTTAAAATATACAATAAAATTTTTTTTGTTACTAATCTAATTCTCAGAAAATTCAATATATATATATTATCCATTTGTTCTTGGCCAAGCATCGAAACCAAAAAGTAAACCAATAATTAATGCAATACCACATATAATAGATAAAATACAAAGTATAAGTGCACGTTTATTAAGTTTATGAGAATCCATAACAAAACCATCACGAAATTTATTTTGTGCTTTACGTGCAAATGCAAATGCAAATAATCCTTAAAATAATAGAAAAAAAAAGAATTATTCAATATTAAAAAAGAATAAAAATTAAATTCTACCAAGTGGAAAAAATAGAATAATACATAATATTGCTAACCATCTCCAATCTGATGGACGACGTGGTGCTTGTGGATCAAATTTTTGACGACGATTAACTAATGTTGCTGAACTTTTTGAACTTGGTACACCACCAACTATTTGAGGATTTGAACCACGTGTTCCTATTGTTGATTGACTTGAATATAATGGATTTGTTGGTCGAACTTGTGGATATTCTTTTTTTAAATAAAATTTTTATATTCTATATTATATTTTTTTTTTTAATTTACCTGCATATCTTGATATTCGACTTGGTACAGAACTTTGTGATCGTTGATCATTTTCATTTGTATATCGAATAGGATAATATGTTTGATTTGTATTTATATTAGGACCATCATCACCACTACCTCGAAGATCAATACGAATATCATTGAATGCCGGTTGTTCATAATCCCCCGTACCATGACGCATCTAAAAATTTAGATTTATTAAAATTAATTTTTTTTGTTGGATTTTTTTTTGATATAGATGAAAAATATTAAGATTAGATCAAAGTATAGAGCGCTATCCTACTAGATTTATATTCTCATCGTGTAATAACCACCGGTTTTTTTCACTCTGCATTGATGACAAGTTAGATGAAGTTTTGTCGTCGTTGATGTTATTTTTCTATCAATAACAGAACAAAGAGAGAGAGAGACAGACAGACCTAGGATGTAGTGTAAAGTAAAATTCACTCGATCCCACGTGAATAAATATAGAAAACTTAACGTATACCTACGCATTTGTCTCTCTTTTTTTTTCTCCATCATCAGAAGAAAAAAAAAAAAAAGAAAGAAAGTTATTTCTCCAAAAAAAAAGAAAAACCTTTTCAATGTCGTCCTTCATCGTCAACTTCATTCTTCCTTGTTATGTGCGCATGTATGTAACATACATATAAAAACGCAAAGTTGAGTTTTTTTCATCAATGTTCTTTTCTGCTCTTCTATTTATAAAAATGGGGAGTAGTTGCAGCAGCAGCAGCAGCAACAGCAGACGAAGGAGAATAAGAAAGAAAAAAAGAAAAAAGAAAAAAAAGAACGAAGAGATTGAAATTGTAATAGGTATGTTAAAGTCGTCATCAATGTTTCATTGAGACATGAGTTTCTTTTGAGAGAATGAAGGTCAAATTAACCAACAAAAAATAATAAAAAGAAAGAACATATGTTTATATTATATAATGAACATAGTTATACTATGTCAAATAGATATTCAAGTATTTATAAATTAGCATGACGAAACAAATAAAAAAAAGAAAATCTATATACATCATACATTTGTTATTTTTGGAAACGCATCAAATGAATCATTTTTATGATTATAAAAAAAAGAAAAGATGATTTATTGCACAAATTCGATGAGAAAAGTTGTGTGTATATGAAAGTTTTTTTTTTACTTGTTGTATTTATAATAAAAAATTTTTATATATTATAATTGATATAGAAATCCTTGATTTTAAGGTAAATAGAAAAGTAATTCATTATAACGTGATTTTTGAATTGAAATTTCAATAATGATCAAATCTATTAACATGTTTTCTTTTTTTTTTGATTATAATTATTCATAGGTGATCGAATATTTTCATTCTAGGATAGATTTTTTTTTGTTTTCATAAGATTCTTATCTGAAAGAAGATGAATTTTTTGAATGCCACTTAGATGAAATATAATTAGTGTCTCATCTTCTATCGAATTCACATTTTACAATGGGTGAAGATAAGACAAAAAAAAATTCGTAATTTACATGAAAAATACATGTAAAAAAGAAATTTTGATAGAATCTATTTGTTTTGAAGAATTCTCATTTTAATTCAAAATTAAAGACAGATTGATAAAGTTTTAAGATAGAATTCTTCATTTGAATAAATATTTTTAATCGAAGTTTTCATTATAATTTTCTCTCTTATATTCAAATACTATATTCTAAAGATACGACATTCTCTTAAAATCGATCTCGATTCAAATTGCATTAATTTTTCGATTCTATACTATAACCTTTTTGGAAGTTGCTCAATCAATGAAATTTCTAAATCAAAGTTCTATATCTCTGCTATGCAGTGTTTTTTTCTTCGGAGGGACGATTTGAAATTCCGGGAGGGACAGTGGCGTACGCAGGGGGGCCCGGGCCCCCCTTGAGACGAAAAATTCCTGGAGGGGGGTACAGGAAAAAATATTTTCACGTGATAAAAAATTTTTTGTGCCATGGCCGCCCCCCCTTGAAAAATTTCTGCGTACGCCACTGGGGAGGGCGAAAAAATTTTTTCCGGGGGGAGGGAACAAGCTATACAGTTCGTCGCGGGTCTCAGGGGGCCCTTTGGATAAAACACTGCTGCTATGCTCTTTTAAACAAAAAGCAATTGACTACAATGAAGTATTCCTATGAAAACAACATATTTTTTTATAGTATTAATTGAGGAAAAAAAACTAAACACATACGTCTTAATGTTTTGTGTACAAATGATTTACTTATAAGTTGCGGAAAAAATGCGCCGTTCTTTTTTTTTTTTGTGTTTTCTTATGTACTATAATCTTTGTAATTTTGAGAATTTTTCGATCATTATATATATCTGGATGAACGGTATGACTATATCGATAAAGAAACTAAAACATTCGTTCATTACTATCGTTTGTGAGAGAAGGTTAGTTAATGTACGCGTTTGATTCAATGATTGTATAAGAGAACGATAAAATATGTAAGACTTGTCATAGATGAATATTAGAATAGTTAGTTAATGTTGTTTGATAAGGATAGAGTATATTTTTATTTTATAATTTCTTCATCCTTTCGATAATGAAAGTATGAGATGTTATCACCTAAATACTGTTTTCAATCATAGTAATAAAAAAAAAATAACTTAAAAGTATCATAAACTAAACTCGAAATTAATCAGTATGATTCTAAAATCTCTTCACTCTTGTTTTTTTTGATCATTCAATAGTAATTTCTTTCTAATCAGACTGAAATTTTTTATACAAAAAAATTTCGTCAATTATTAGAATTGTTTTTCGACTAAAAACAAATTCTTTTTATCATGATGAAAAATTGATAGACGAATTACGATTCATTACCAAGGCCGTATGTCTTTGTAAATACGGGTTCAATGATACAGTTAATAATACTAGGTGTGTTTAACAGTTTATAGTGATCCGTAACAATCGGTCTGAGAAGCTTATTATAAAGCAATTTTAAAATATATAATCAAATTTATTACAAACCATATTTGCTTATGTGAAAATGAAAACCTATAATAAATATTGATTTTGACTGGCACGTCTTTTAATAGTATTTACTGTCTTTTATATATATATATGAAGCTGTAAAGATAAAAAGAAGCAATGTTTTTTTCTAGTTCACTTTCGTCTAAAAAAATGAATTATTACATGCATAGGTCGAGTATATTCTTTCTATTCCATATTACAAAAATTTAAATTTGTACATTATTTATTGAAAAATTTTATCTAATCATATAAAGAAAAAAAAAACAGTTGAAGTAATTTTCAAATATAAATAGCGAGTTTTTTTTTGTTTTTTTCTTAATCATTGTACTTGTATAACATTTACAATAGATTTTTAATTAGAAAATATTTAAATTATTGATTAAATCAAATATTTTTTACTAAAAAATTCAATCAGATAATATCTCATTCATTTATGCTCGAATTAAAAATATTCTATCTATCAGATCAAATGAATAATAACATTATAAAACTATTTTAAACATAAAAAGAAAATTGACTTTTTCAAGATCTTTATCCCCTTACGACCGGATGTTGTTAAACGGCAACATCCTCATTTTTTATTACCGAATTATACGTCATTAACTTAAGAAATATTGATTCCATGTTGCCAAACGGCAACATCAGTAATTATTATATAAATCTAATTTTACATATTTCTAATACTTACAATAATTTATAATTTGATTGATAATTCATAATAATTTTGAATATATATTAAATCTTTGTATATAATCGAGCAAATATTGTTTATAATTATTTTGATTCTACAATTTTTTTGTATATAAGATATACAATCAAAACAATTCTAAACCTAACCAATAAAAATTAATATTTTTTTGTATTTTAAAGATGTCACTTTCATAATAAAAAAAAACAAAAAAAAAACAATATTTTTATTTATTTTCTTCTAGTTAAACAAAAAAAACAACTTTTCTTTTAATATAAAAATAAAACTCAATTCACATGACTCATCTTAGAAACTTAGCTTCGAAATTTATTTGTTATTATCATTTTCAATAATTCTTTTTTTGTTTAAAATATATATACAAAGAAATTTATTATTTCAGATGGCTGCTCCTAAGCCATGGGAAACTTCAATACCAATGTCAAATCAGCCAATGCCAATATCATTCGATACAATAAATAATGGTATAGTACCAACAATTGAAAATTCGTATGTAATTTGAAAAAAAAAATTCTTTTTCTCATAAAATTTTCTTTTGTTAATTTTCTAGACGAACACAAATTTTAGCACCACCACCACCACCACGAACTATTCAACAACAATATAATCTTTATCCATCAACAAATTATTTAAATCCATATTCATTAGGACCATATCAACAAAGTAATTTTTATAATAATTATCGTTTAACACCATATGGTACACAATCAAATATACCTGTTAGTAATTTTGCACAATTAGCTATTGATGAATCTCGTACAGCATTTTCATCAATTGAATCTATAATACAAACATTTCGTTCAATATCATTAATGCTTGAATCAACATTTACAAGTGTTTATTCATCATTTCGTGCTGTAACTGATGTATTAGATCATTTTACACGTATAAGACATGAAATTTCAACTATATATCCATTTGTATTAATATGGAAATTTTTAAAATATATTTATTATCGTTTATTACGTTTATTACATTTACGACAAACAACATCAGAAGAAACATGGACAACTATATATAATAATTTACAACAAAATACAAGAAATATAAATGAACAAACAACAGGATCATCAAGTTTACTTGTTGCTTTATTTTTTATTGTTTCATTAGGTACACCAATGTTAATGTTAAAATTTATTAATTCTATTATTAAAAAACGACAAAGTTTGTAATAATTTATTTATTTGTACAAAATAATTATTAAATTTATTTAGCTGCTAATAATAGTTGGTTAGAACAAGAAAATAATCAAGCACAAGTTATAGCATTATATGATTATGTAGCTCGAAATTCTGATGAATTATCATTTTCACGAGGAACAACTATTTATTTAGCACCAATTAGTAAGAATTTTTGTTTTCTTTTTTGAATAACTAACAACATAGAGATTTATTATTTAAGAGAGAAAATTCAGAGGAGGTACTCAAAAATCGAAGAAAATAGCCTAAAATTTGTCCGATTATATCGGAGAAAACTCTTCGATAATCTCTCTAAGAAAATCTGAGCTAGAACTCTCAAAGCAGTGGATACCCTGCGCCATCCCTGAGAAAATTCTAGGCCATCAGAGATGGACAGCTCCTGTTGCCGACTCCGACGAAAGTTGGTGACCCAGGACAGATTATACATACATCGAATTTAACATCATTCGACACAGAAATGTTTGCTGTTTCCAGTTATGTATTTAGCTTGGCCTTTGTCTCAATGGAAGATAAGGGCCAAGCTAAGTACATAGCTGGAAAGAGCAAACATTTCTGCGTTGAATGATGTTAAATTCGACGTATGTAGAATCTGTCCTGGGTCACCAACTTTCGTCGAAGCCGGCTACCGGAGGTGCCCATCTCTTAATAATTAACCAATCAGATGACTTTTCTCTGCACATTTTGAAAAAAGAAATTCTGCAGCTACTTCCATGGGATTTCGACTTGGAATTTGACCAATTAATACAAAAAAAAAACAAAAATCATATGTTCCTTTTTGATCTATACAAATTTCAACTTTCTAGCATATTCTGTTTAAGAATTATCTCATCTTAGCAGAATCATTTCGGATGGTTTCAAAAATGTTCTTAAAATTTTAATTTTTATGTTTTGTAAAAGAAATTTTTGTAATTTCAAAAATATTAAAATAATAATTTCAAATCGTTTTAAAAGTAGAAACAAAAGAACTCTTAAATATATGAATATTTTTTAGGTTTACAATCGACAAGTTCTCATTGGTTTTTGGGTACAATTGATCGTATTCATACTGGTTTAATACCAGCTAATTATGTTCAACCAGTTCGACAATCAACAAATTCAAGTATAACTCTTCGTCCACAGACACCTTATAATGCTACAGTAAATTTTAAAAACAATATTTGTTCTGTATTCATCAACTTTCTATTTTTACTTTTTTAGTCAACTTCTCCTATCCCTTCTCCATCAACATCTTCATCTAATGTTACCAATATTCCACAATCAACTTTACAGGCAGAAGAAAAACCTACATTATCATGATTTAAAACCAATTTTCTATCTTTTATTTTTTTTGTGTTTTAAATGTTGAATTGTATTTGTACTGTTAACTTCGCCGTGTGATTTGATTGACGTCTTAAAAATATTTGGTTTTCGGCTTTTTTTTTTCTTCAAATGCCCTGTCATTTAGATGAGTGTTCATATAAATAAAACTGTTCTTATTACTGGAGCATCTGGTGTATTAGGTCGAAAAGTAAAAAATCTGTTTATCAATGCTGGATGGAATGTAACAGGTGAATGAATAATGTCTTTATAAAAAAGCAAAATTTTTTATAATTTTATACAGGACTTGCATTAAATCGAGCAAATAAAAATCATTTAGTTCAATGTGATCTAACTAATTTTGATGAAATAAATGCTATTATTGAAAATTTGCAGGTAGAATTTTGTTTTTCTTTTTTTGAAAACAAAAAAATTAATTAATTAATTAATATAGCCAGATGCAATTATTCATTGTGCTGCTGAACGTAAACCTGATGAATTTGAAAAAAATCCAACTAAATCAATGTTTCTTAATGTTGAAGTAACACGTTATCTAGCTGATTTCGCTGGTAAAAAAATGACTCTTTGAATTTAAATAATTAATAAAATATTAATTTTTTTTTTTTAGCTAAAGAAAATATTTTCTTTATTCTTATTTCAACTGATTATGTTTTTGATGGAAAAAATCCACCATACAAAGAAGATGATACACCTAATCCACTTCAAGCTTATGGTAAAAGTAAATATGAAGCTGAATTAATAACACAAAAAATATCGAAAAGTAATAATAATAAAAAACAAAATATTTAAATAAATATTTAAATTATTAAGATCATCTCATACTTCGTGTACCATTACTATATGGTGAAGTTGAAACATTAGATGAAAATGCAGTCACTATTCTATTGAAAAACATAAGAAATACTACAAATCGAGTCAAAATGGATGAGTATGATTGATAGTTATAAATTTATTAAAATTAATTTTAATATTAATTTAATTAAGTGTTCAAATTCGTTATCCAACTTATGTTGGTGATGTAGCTGAAGTTTGTTTACAATTATGTGAACACCGAATTATAAACGTATGAGTATAATATATATCTATTTATTCATAATAAAGTAATATTATTCTTCTTCTATTTTTTTTTTAAGAATCGAAATGAAATTCGTGGTATAGTTCATTTTTCTGGTACAGAAAAATATACAAAATATCAAATGGCATTACTTATTGCTTCTATTTTTCAATTACCTATTGATCATATTGAACGTGATCAAAATATAGGAATAGATACAAATGTTCAACGACCTAATAATGCAGCATTAGATAGTAGTAAATTATCAAATGAATTAAGTATTCATATAAATCAAGTTAAATTTGAAACAACAATTAAACAATGTCTTCAACCATTTATTTAATTTAAAAAAAAAAATAAACATAACTTAAAAAGTTTCATAAATATTAATTATAATTATAGAAACATTTTTTTTTTTTTTATTCTAAATAAAATCTTGATTAGATTCAAGATCTTTAATTGGTAAACCTTCAAGTAAATTTCGAGCATCTTCTTCAGTAAAAGATAAAATTGATTGTATTGAATCAAGTTTATTTAAATAAGTTGATTGATTTTCTAATTGATTATCTGAAGTATAATTCATTTCTGAACGATAACGTGATGTAAACATATCTTTTGATTTAAAATTTTTTACAATACAACTACCTATAATATAAATTAAATTAACAAATTTTTTTTTTATTTCATTTTTTAAACTAACCAACAGTTATTCCACCTTTAATTGGTAATTGTCCAATACCACCATTACGACCAATTGATAAAAGTATAGCACGATGACTTTGAATTTTATATTCTTTTGGATAAGATTTTTTTTTTTCAATTAATGGAATTATTTTTGCAACATATTCAGCTTGTCTATTAGCTAAAAATGCAAATTTTTCTTCTTTATCACATATATCACCAATAGCAAATATATTATTATAACCATCAATTTGTAAATAATTATTTACAATAATTCGACCAGTTTCAGGATTAATTTTTGATTTTAATGAACTATTTAATAAACTTCTATTATTAATATGTGCACCTGTACATATAAATGTTAAATCAGCTGTAATATTTATTTTATTATTTTTTGTTATAAAAGTTTGTTTTTCTTCAATATAATTAATATAATGATTATTTAATAATTCAATTCGATCATTTAATATTATATTAATATGAAGTTTTTCAAGTTGTTCTTGTATATTTTTATAAATTTTTTCATTATATATATTTGGTTGTAATAATGTTTTTTGACTATGTACAATAGTAATATGTTTTTCAGGATAATCAGTTGCTATTTCACCAGCTAATTCAATACCAACTGGACCACCGCCAATAATTAATATTTGTTGTGATTTTTGAATTTTTTCTTGTATATCATTATAAAGATTAATAGCTTTGTTTATATCAATTTCAGCTATTTTACTTGGAAAAGCATATGATGAACCAGTAGCTATAACTAAATAATTAAAATAAATTGGTTCATTTCGTCCATAAACTTGAATACAATCATGTGAAATTGATATTACTTCAGCTTGTACAACACAACCTAAAAATTGAAAATTTTTTATTCATATTTTAATAGAATAATAAAAATTAATTTTTCTTAAAAAAAAAACTACATATTTTTTATTTTTGTAGATTGAAAAAGTTATTTTATTTTCTTCTTAGAATAAAATTCTTTCATAAGATTAATAATCTATATAATATACAAACCATTAGTAAGTAATCGATCATATGGAACAATAATTTTTCGTGCAAAATCTCGTTCTACTGTTGCACGTAATGCAGCAACATTATGAAGAAAATATGATTTTCGATCGATAAGTATAACAAAAAATTGACTACTTTTATCTAATATTTTAGCACATTGTATACCACCATAACCACCACCAACAATAATTACAACAGGTTTTTTTTCATTATTTTCTTGAGATCCACTAACACCCATTTTTTTTCTTTTTCTTCCTTCACAATTTTTTTTTTTAATGTTTATATATATATAGTATTTTGTTTCTGTTTCTTTTTTTGCTACGTCATGCTGATTATGTTAACATATTTCAACGTCCTTTAAGTATGACAAGGTAAAATGTTGACGCTGTCTTCAGACTGTAATTTTCTTTTCTTCGATACAAAAAGAATCCTACCAACTAGAAAAGTAAATTTGATAATTATTTGAAAAAAAAAAGTTTTACAATAAATTTAAGTAAAAAAAAAATTGTTTTTTTTTAGTTTTAATTCTTTTAGTATTCATTTTGTTTTATGAATTTTAGAAAAAAATTTATCTTCATAAAACATGGTTGAGTAATCATAATTAACACTAATATCTAATAAGGAAGTGTCTACATATCGGGATAATCAATATAAAGTTTGACTTGTAGAATAAAAATCATTTTAGTTTTTTTAACTTAATAACAATCTTTGCATTCAGTACTTCTCTTATGTTCTGTATAAAATGTATCAAATGATGTTTATTAGGAATTGCAAATCTACACAATTGAACGAGAATTTTTTTCTTCAATCGGTTACAATTGTATTATCATCTACATTTCGATGTGAATAACGGCCATCTTTGATTTTTTTTTAGAAATATGTGACATTGGTAGTCTCAATAGAATCTGATTAGTATTCACAATAATATGTAACTCGCTCATTGATATACAATAGAAATAGTTTCTTAAGTATATTTATCTTGAAAATAATACTCAAAAAAAAAAAGTAAAAAAGTATAGCATAGAAAACTTAGTATTAATATTTAAAAATATTATCCGAATGAGTTCATATAGCAATGAGTCTATTTATATACAAATGAATATTATAGATTTGTCAAGATACCCGTCTTTCGGTATAAATGGATATTTTTATATGTATGTTTTTTTTTCTTCTTCTCTTACTTTTTACCTATTTTCAAAGATAAACATACTTTAAAAAAGTAATTCAATCATAGATTTTTTTTTTTAGAATACTAATTAGATTCCATTGAAGCCATTTATTCATATCAGAATGTTGGTTATAGATATGATCTATAAGTATTAATATTATATGTAAAACATAAGAGATATATTGAATGTTAATGTTATCGAATAGCACAGTTAAATAATAAGTTAGACAAACAACGAAAAAAAAACAGAATGTTTTACTTCATTCTAGATGTTTAATACAATTTTGATAAACTAACATTGAAAATATATAATCAAGATAAGCAACCATTCAAATTTTATTCATTGAATGCCAAACACATCATTTTTTTTTGTTTTTTGAAAATATCTTTCTAATCTCTACGGAAGTAAATAGAAGAACTAAGAAAACAAAAAAGGCTATTTTATATGACTCTAAATATCGAATACAAATAGATTTTCTTATCAGAGTAAAGAATTTCAATGAAAGCAGCAAATATTATTTTGAATATGTTGTGCAATTCTCCTTTGAGTTATCGCGAAAAAAGTTATAACATCCGAGATCGAAGATTCCGGTCACCGGATCCTGCAGGAAAACATCAGAAGTCACCCTGTTCTAGCGACTTCCTACCGGAACTCGCTCGTACTTCTCGACCTGGGATATGAGATTCGTCAAAAATATCAAATAATTCACAATAGGTGAATACAGGGAAAGGAAAGTGATGTATTAGAGAAAACAAAAAAATAGTTATGCTTCAGTACGGTAAAAACATGTTTATTTTTATTTACGAAGTACTTTAAAAGTGTAGCTATTAAATACATTGGATCATTGTTAAACTTATTTTTCTTTTTTTAATCATATGATTTTCTATAAGTTTAGTCATTTATTAATAAACTTGATATTTCAATATATCAATTACACATTGATAGAGAACGGTTTATATCTTGATATTATCATAATTTCGAACAGACTTTGTTCAAAACATCTAAATTTATTCATGCAAAGGTACCATAGTTAAAATGTATAAAAAATTTGATAGTTTAGTCAAATCTTTTTAGAATATTGACTAAGTATTATTTAATATCTATAGATAAAATGCATTGAAATTTGAACGAAGAGATTTCCGTGTTAACTCTGAATCTTTTCACATTAACACGATGTTCTTAATCTGATAAAACTCTCGAAACTCATTCTAAAAATAGATAAAAATGTGTAAATCTAGAATAATCGTAAACACGTCTTTATAAGAATATTGTCTAATTGAATATTTCTATTTAATACTAATAGCCACAGTTATCGAGAACTATCACTTTGATGACTATAATTTCACCAATGTTCTGCCATAATTTATCTACTCTATCTGAAAGGTCACTTTCACTGCTATCATTTTTTCTTACTAGGAAACATTCCCAGGTGAAGGAGCGCTTTTCAGCCGGGGTTTTGCGGATCTTGTAGCCCATCGTATGCTAAGCCTATGGTAAAAATAGTTCAGGTTTCTGGCTTCATTCTGAGGGGAGATACTGAGCTCCTAGTGAATCTTCTCTATAGTATGCCTACATTGTTAGCAAAGCTATATTTCCGAATGTTGACCTGAAACTTTACTTGCATAAAAGCCTCAGCTAGACTAGTTTGCATAACAAAGTTCAGAAGTTTTGAACAAAGCCTCTCTAAGATACGAAGCTTTGAAAAAAAATGCGTCGTTTATATATTATTATGAAAAAGGGACTGTACCTTGATAGTTTCATATCTTAGCAAGACTTTGTTCAAAACTTCTGAAATTTATTATGCAAACTAGTCTAGCTGAGGCTTTTATGAAGACAAAGTTTCAGATCAAAATTCGGAAGTATAGCTTTGGTAACAATGTAGGCATACTATAGAGAAAATTCACTAGAAGCTCGGTATCTCCTTAGAATCAAGCCAGAAACCCGAACTTTTTTTTACCATAGACATAGCTCACTATGGGCTACAAGATGCGCAAAGCTTCGGCGGAAAAGCGTTCCTTCACCTGGGTTTGTTTCCTAATTAGTTTTTCCGATGTTTTTCAGGAATTGCAAACAGAAAGAAATTGTTCATGTAAAATAATCAAATTGATTGTAAGAAAAGAAATCTTCAAATTAAATTTTATTTGATATTGTATTAAATATAACAATATTATTTCTTTGCAATTCAATTGAAAATATTTGATCTGATAACTAGTGACAACTATTGAAAACTTTCTATTATCAATATATATATATATTTGACATGAATCGCATAACAACAAATGGTTTCGTATAATGTCGCTGACAAGAAACAAATAATCGATTAGGTCACTAATATGAATCATTCATCCATCATATTCGACAACACATTATGTGTTTATTCATTCATCATACATACAAATACATTGCTTTTTTCTTTTTCTTATAAATGCAATAAAATAGTCTAAAAAAAAAACAAGGACATTTATGCGTTCTGCTTTTCATTTATCTAAAAAAAAAAGAAAAAATAAATTATTGTATTGATATGTATTTACCTGTACATTAATTAAAAAATTTACCTTATATTTATAGATAATAATGGCAGGCAGTGCTGATGATCTTCCTAGTTGGTTTTGGTGGGCTGCGATTGGTGGTGGAATAGCTATATTACTTCTTGTGATACTTTTACCACTTTCATTTTCATATCTTGATTATTATCATTATGGTTTTTTACGTCGACATTCATCAGGACGTGTTAATCTTGATCGTGTTTATGAAGGTGGACGATATTTAGTTGGACCAGATCATCAGTAAATAAAATATTTTGTTTTTTTATTTAAATTTATTTTTTCTTTTGTAATATTTTAGTTTTAAAAAATTTAAAGCTACAGCACATAGTGTAAATTTTAATCGTATATCAGTTTTTACAACTGATAATTTAGAAGTACATTTGGTAAATAATAAAAAACAAAAACGATTTATGCAAATGATTAATGTATCAGAATAAATATTCCTAAACTTATAACAAAAGGATTTAAAATTTAATTTTGCTAAATAATTGATATTGATAGAAAAAATTTCTTATTTATTTTCTTTCATTCGTTTCAAACTATTCGTAAAAGTTAACACATATTTTGGATCTCGTAGTATTTTTTATGTAATTTTTTTTTTGTTTTGTATTGAAAGTTATGATACGTACTTGTAAAATATTTGAACCGTGAGTCCTTTAGAAAAGAAAGAAAGACGTACGTCAATAACCCTCGACCGTAATACTGAGCAAATATTTACAAGAAAATCACTTCAGCTGATACTTGATGTTCAAAATGATACGCCGATCATTAGATAAAGTAGTGAATCAAAACGGATTTTTCATTATGCGCTATTCTCATGCAGATAAAGTCATATTACTAGGTTTTTGTCTAAGTACCGTTACCAAATTAAAACGAATTCAATAGTTGTTTTAGATCAAATACGAGATACCGGCTGAAATCTCTCTCTCTCGTTAAAGGAATATTTATTCTGATGCATCTATTACATATAAAATTATATTTTTTGTTTTGTTTTGTGTAGACTATTACATTTCAATTCTTCTTAATAAAAGAAGATTTACCATTACTTCATACTGCATATGATATTTATTATGAACCAATAATTGTATCAAATGCAAAAGAAGCTATTATATCTACTTGTTCTCGTTTTGATACAGATGAATTTATAAATGATCGAGAAAAAATTTGGCGTGAAATATATCTTGGTGTTAAACGTCAATTAGGTAAATAAAAAAGAAATTTTTTTTTGTTTAAATTGAAATTTTTAAAATATAAATTATTTTAGGTGGGTCTTGCTGTATTCCAAATTGTAAAAATCAATGTACAAATTGTCCAATACATGAAAAATGTGTTACTAATTGTAAACCACGTGAAAAAGGTTGTAAAAAAGAAGAAAAAGGATTTTTTGCTGAAGTACGATATCTTCAATTACATGGTATTACAAAACATAAAAAAGAAAAGAAATCTATTTACTATTTTGATAATATTTTTCAATTTAGATATTGATGTACCTGAACGTGTTATGGAACGACGATTACTTGGTTTAGTACGTGATTTAGAAAAAGAACGTGAAGAATATATTAATCAAGAAGCACTTGTTAAAAAACAGACTGATATATTAGTTAATCAATATCGTAATAATGCAACACAATCTGTTGCTTTTTCAGAAGCACAAGCACAATTAAAACGTGAACGTGCTAAAGCTGATGCACTTAAACGTGTTGAAATAGCTCGTATTGATGGTTTAACAGCTATGTGTTCAACATTAGGTATAACACAACCAAAACATATTAGTACACTTCAATATTTACGTACATTAAAAGATTCAACAGATAATATTAAATATTCAATTGATTTTTCTCATGCTATAGCACAACAACAACAACAACAACAACAAAAATTACCTGCAGCATAAAAAAAGATAACTAAGAAAATTTGTGATGAATATAGACATTTTAGATGATTTCAATTATATACTTTTGTTCTTATGGATAAAATTATGTATTAATAAATGCTTGAACTATATTATATATTGTTTTTTTTTTTTTTTTATTGAATTCCTTATTAACATTGGTATCAGATTTGATTTTGTCCCTATCTCTTGTATTAATAAATTAATCTCTATCCATTTAGTATTAATCTAATTAAATATTCATTATTCTTTTTTTTCTTTTGATTGGTTTGCATATTTTTTACTTTATAAATAAAATCATTATTTAGACATCAAATTCTTTTTATGTAATACAATATTTAATAAAATCATCGATTAAAATATATTAGTAAGTTCCCTGTAGAATTTCTTTACAGCAAACAAAATAAAAAAAAAAAAAAGCTTTCAGATTCTGATCAAAAGCGTATATTAATTGACATATGTCACAATATATTTAAAGATAGAAGCCGTCAATTATAGTTACTATTCCATTGAAAGAATTATGATGTATATAACAATAAATAACTTTATGCGCAGAGACGTTCCTCTAATCGATTGCCTTGTTCTTCTAATAACTCCAGACAGAGATTTCGTTTGTTTTTGACCAAGGGGGGGAAAAATTTTTTTTCCAAAGAGAAAATCCGCTGGAGAAAAACGATAAATTTTTCCAGGGGGACTTTCTCCTAAAATTTTAGAAGGGGGAAATCCCCCCCTAATCGTATGGCCTGACTCCAAATGCTTTCAGCAAAATCTAGGTTGATTTTCATAGTTTTTTATCTAATCAAAATATAAATTCTCTATGTCATATATTTACTTTATTAGATTATACATATTAAAAATGATGTACATTGATTTCGCTCAAAGCTAAACGTAAAAATCCTTGATTAATTGTACTCTGCATATTGTTCTTTCCATTAGGAAAACATAATCGAAATAGAAACTAAATCAAACTAGATTTCTATGATTTATATTCAAATGATACTTGTTCTATCTAAACAAAACCTAGATGTCATTCTGAAATGATGATAGATATAACATCGTAGTTAATATTCGCATGAAAAAATACGAATGAAATCAAATTAATTTTTTTAATAGTATCAACAATATTTTAGTATTTATATTAATCTCACATCATTACACACGATTGCTTCTCGTACTACAGGAAATCAACAAAATCTAAATAAGAAAAAGAATTATGTCTCAATAGAAGTGCGAAATTGTCATAAACAATATTGTTATGTAGAGAGAGAAAAAAAAAATGCTGTATTACATGAAGCGTATGTAATAACATAAATTATTTCTCTAATTTTATTTCGCGCGCGTCTCTTATCTATAAAGTATTAAAGTAAAATTCGATTTGATATTGAATCATTCGATTCTTGACGATTTTTTAATACTAAATTAAAAAAAGAAAAATTTAGCAAAAAAAAAAAAATATTCAGTTTTTCAATATTTTACATTTCATTAAAACAATTATATGTTCAGAAAAAAATGAACAAGCAGTTGCAAATGATGTTAAAATACCAGCAATAAGTGGAATACTAAAAAAAAAAAAAAATTTCTTATAATAAATTAATAACACAAATTTTTTTTACCATGTTTGACTATCTCCTCGACAAACACCTGGTATAAATTTTTTTGATAAATTTATTTGACTTGAACTTTCACATAGAATATAACCTAAAAGAAATATGTTTTCTTTTACATTTTTTTCTTATAAATTATTCAATCTACCCCAAATATTAAAACTAAATGCAATAAAATATAAAATAACAATAATACCATGTATAATAAGATTACGTTTTTTTGATGTACATATATTTGTTATTAAATAAAACCAAATATATTGAATAGAATAAATTAAAGTTATCCATGAAAGAACAAAAAAATAAACAGATGTATGTGGACCAGCTCCAACTAAAATTTAATTTATTCTTTTTAGTTTTTAATTTAATTAATTAAAAAATAACATACATGGTGGAGTAAAAATATACCATTTAAGAATTGTATTACCATTACTTATTGAATGTTCACATGTACCCATAATATGTTGAATAATAACACATAATAATGTAAATAATAAATTAATTAATGCTATTCGATTATTATTAATAATAAAAAAATTTTTAATTCGTTGTGTCCAATGTATTGTTTTTATTTTATCTATATGATTTTGTTTAATTTGTTGATTATCAATTATTGATATAGAATTTTGTTTATCAACATTTATTGATTGTGTTGTTGACATAATATTATTTTAAATAATTTTTTTATTCATTGAAAGATGAAAATTATATTTATATTTTTCCTTTTTGTTTTTTTTTTTATTTATTTTAAATAAGAGAATTACAGTAAAACAGAAATTTTTGAATAAAATGTTGTCATAGAAATTTTGTTTTATTAGTATTTATTTGTATTAGTTTATTTCATAATAGGATAAGAATAATTAGAAATTTTCTTGTATTAAAACATACATTATTCATTTTTATATGAGAATAAAATCATTAATTATTATCAGATATGACTAATTATAAGTATATTTAATTGAGTTCGTAGATTTTTGAGATATTGTAAGTCAGTATTTTATATTAAATTCGTTTGTCTTTCATTCTAAATAATGCATCATCATTCTCTGATTTCATCATGCTCATACCAGTAGGTTGCTATTCGTTTTTTTTATAACTACATAGTCGGATAGTTGAATTTCCATTTGTTTGATACATTAGTACAAAGAAACACAATTACTGTACCTATTTGCACACGTCTACATCGAACTAAAATATTATTTATGATATATGTCATCGTAACAAAGTATTGAAATAAAAATATTAATTGAACTTATTTATTTGAGAAGAACAAAATTAGAATTAACTATTTCGAATAATTATAAAAATAATTATTCGAAAATAAAAAAGTATCATTATTTATCCGGTTTTTTTGAGGACAATTTTCTGTTCACAAAAAAATAAAAAATTCTATGTCATTGACCTCTGTTGTTATTCGTTGTCTATCTAGATAATAGATTGAATAAGTGTGTAGATTTTTGATAATGAATTATTTTTTTTTGTCTCAAGAGTAATGCAAATAGAAATATATATAGTAACATCTTCAGTCTATAAAAAACAATAAAACAAAAAGCCTTTTAAATAGTTAATGTATATACGAGTTTTTTTTTCTATTTGACAATTTCCTTTTTTGTTTTTTTCATTCATTAGAATATGAAATTTATTTTAAAAGATCTTTCAATTAATATCTAATTACATTTGATTGTTTGTTTGTTTTTTTCATATAATACTAAAAATAAAAACTCAATCGATAATACTAATTATTATTCAATATTGAAAGTACGAATACAGTTATTTTTCGTATAAATCATGAATTCAACTAATCGTTTTTTTTATTTGGAAATTCCCAAAAGCATTGACTCGAAACAAATTTGATAATGCATTACTTTGAATATGAACATTAATTTTCAATAAATATTAATGTTTGTTTTAGAAAAAATATAAAAGAGTCATTAAGATATGTTGAAAATTTTCTTAAAGAATCTGTTAAAACTTTAAAAAAAATATTAAATTTGTCTATTGTATATCTCATCATAAGATGACGTATGCATTTTATATATAAAATACAATTTAACAATGATGTTGAAAGAAAAAAAAAGATTCATTCAAGTGTAATGTAGGCAACAAGCATTTTGTTCTTCATTTCTTTTTTTCTTTCCATCGATTTTTTTTTGTCTGCAGTCTTTTCTTATTTATTCATCATCGTTACTCAATCTTATCTTTATTTACTAATCTATGTATCTAAAAATGTCTTAAGCAATAAAGCGAGAATTTGATTGTTGTCAAAAAAAAAAAAAAAGAAAACTCAAATAAATCAGATAATTAGGTTTTCTTTGAGTATGTACATAGAACTCTTAGAATAAAAGAAAAAAAAAGTATTCAATGGAAATTTGTTTGTTTTTTTTTTTTCTTCTTATATTTAGACAAAGAGCAATCAAATATATATACAAAGTGGTAATGCAACACTAGTTACAAGGAAATATTGTTTGAAAAGAGTCTACATATCAATTTATAGAACAAAAGAAATATATAACATGAACATACGATTGTAGTTTTTATTAGTTTTTTTTTGTCTGAAGTATGAAAATTATGTTACAATAATATGATATGAGACATGATTTATTTGACATCTAAATTGTTCATTTAACATCATTGTTTTTATTTGATTTCATTACTACCGTCGACTTCAATCATAAGAAAAGTAACATCGTCATCATACAACAAAGAAACTAAGGAAAGTACTAAATAAAAAGAGAGAAACCGAGGGGGAAAAAAAAGAAAAAAAAAAAAAAGGAATAGATCTATCATATTGTGCTTGTTTTCACGATGAGAAATAATAAAGACATCTCAACTATTACTAAAGTTTACGACGATTTTTAATAAAAAACGATCATGAAAGTAAAAATTTTTTTTTATTTTTTGAAATAATTTTCTTATTAAATTTTATAGTTATGGTGCCTGTTTGTCGTATTCTTAATTATTACAATCTCAACAGTAAATATTATATTCTAAAAAAAATCAAAAAAAAATGATTATTTTTATTTTAGTCATTTGTTTATTCCAATGATTCTAATATAATATTAGATTCATCAAAAAATATGAAAAAAATCCCATCAAATATACAATTATCATCATTTATGAAAAAAGATCGATTAATTACTAAACGTTCACAACGTAATGCAAATATTCTCTATCGATATTGTCGTCAATCTGGTCAAGCACGACAATTTTGTCTAAAATATGCTGTTCGAATGTTATATGCTACCGGACATTGAGTATAATATATATATATTCTAATTTTGCATTTTGTCATCAAAACATGCAAGAACTAGTTTTTTATTGATTAAAAAGATGAAAATAAAATCTAATCTTAATGTTGACATGAGGTATTTTTCTTTCCTTTAGGAATTAATATCAATAAAGTTATTACTTAAATAACATATCGATTTTCTTCAAAATAGAAAACAATACAAATAAAATCATTTTTAGAAATTATATAAAAATTCTTCTTATTAAATGAAGGCTAATTTGTCTAGACGAATAAAAAAAAAAACAGTATTTCCAATAAAAAAAGTCAATTTAATCCAATTATTTAATATTATTAGACTTGTGTAGACATTGTCAAAAAACAAAAAAAAAAGGAACTAAGTTTTATTCTCTAGTTCATATGACATGCAATGAAAATAAATATTTGATATTGATTGATAACGACATCAGAGAGAAAAAAAACAAGTAGGCTTATAGAAATAAACGTCATCATCAAATTTATTATTATTATGAGTTTTAGATGAAAATGTATAAAATTAATATATTGAAAAATAATTGAACCCACGCAGATATTCTTACAGTAATATTTATTCAATTGTTAGACACTAATGTTATTGAACCGTTGAGTTATCTATTTAAATGAGCATGATGACCAACTATTGTTTCTTATTATCGATTCTCTTTGTCTATTCTTCTATGGATATTTATGTGACAAAAATGAAAAACAAAATTTTTTATTTTTATCATATTAACACCTAAAGAAAAATAGACAAAGAAAATCGACAATAACAATTGATAATAGAAAACTACATTCATCTAAATAAATAATCATAATATTAATTTCTCACAATTAAATTTAATATTATTGTACGAATATATATATATATATGCAGAAGTTTTATAATTGTAGAATATTTGATATTTAAAAATAGTAATGAAATATATCAATCAAATTCGACATTTCTAAATATTGAACAACAACTTCTATATTTACTGATCAAATTGACAACAATGAAATATGTGTAGATGTTCTTTATCTAAAGAAGTACGTAATATTCTTGATAAAATAATAAATAACAATATGATTTATTAACAGTCAGCATTTTCAAATATTTATTTTCTCATTATTATTAAACGACTTTCTTATTATTAGTTCAAAACAAAACACTTCATTTTGTATTTTTGCATTCATTTAAATACCATAGAAAAAGAAAAAGATAAAAACTATAACCGAACATTGTCAATACGTTCTGCGGAAACGTCTATTTTAGTATATACCACAATCTATGCGATTAAGTTGTTCGAAGAAGTAATCGTAAAAATCCATGTTATATATTTAATAATTTAAAAATTCATTTTTTTTGCTTTGGACAAAATAAAAGATACATTTAAGTTTTTCTATGTATTTTTTATAGCATCGTATAGTAAATCATACAGAATAATACAAAACAATGTAAATTATAACAATAACCTATAAGGACATATCTAACTGAAATAGATCATTTTCTCGTTAGCATAATTTTAAAAAAAATTCTTTTACATTCAATTATTTCTATAGTCATGATTTTTCACAAGAAAAACTTCAGAATGACTGACATATGATAAAAATACTAGATAATTTTCATCTACAACCTATTGTTAAAAACAAAAATGCATCAAACTAATTTACAAAAAAGACATATTTCTGTTTTTCATAGTATGTTATAAATTTTAAGTCGATTAAAAATAATGTTCTATTTAAAATAGTTTTGACAAAAAAAAAAATTAATTTTCTTTTGTTTTTTTGAATTTCAATATGATGTATTTTATCTTTATCTATGTTAATTGATATAAATGCTTTCTTATTGAATGTGATCATTTAGAAGCGAGATTAGTCAAATATTTTTTCAATTACATTCTTAAAATAGTAAGGATTACAAAGATTTTCATTTTTTTTTGTTCTCTTTAATATCATTTAGCATACTATAATATCAAATTATTTTAATTTGAGTATAAATAAAAATTTACATAAGATATAAAATTTCTAAATCTAATTTAAAATAAAGTTTGTTTTTTTTCTTATTATTATTAACTATGTGTAATATATACATTATAATTAATTTATATCATGTAAAATATTTTATTTTTAACATTAGATAATTTGTCGTTGTCAACAAAATCTTTTTGACCTACATTTTTATTAAAAAAAGAAAAAGAACAACTGTCACAAAATGATCTATATTTAATAAATTCATAAGACAAACAATTAAAAGAAATATGATTTATCTTAGCATATTTTCTAAATTTTCTTTTAAATATAAATAATTATTAGAAAAAATCTTATTTTTGTTTTTAGTTTTATATTTCTACGCAAAATCAAAAAGCGATATAAATATACAATCATAAGAATTAATCCTTATGAATTCTTTTATCATAATTAGCCGACAAATAGAGATAAATAATGTAAAAGAGTTTATTATTAGAAATTTAATAATTATTTATTAATGAAAATGCACGAGTTATACTCTTAAACAATTTTTACAAAAATGCAAATATTAATCTTTAATATAAAGTCAACATGTAAACTCATATGATTTATGAATACTTCAAATATATTCCTTATTGTCATCAACATATTGTATATTTGTTTTATCGAATGTTTCAATGTGATCTCTTTCAAGAAAACTAATATTGGATTTTTCATCGAACAAAAAAAAGTCTTGATGAGAATTGTTTATTGTAATAAAGATTTTAAATATTTTCATTATTTCTATTTTTTCAAAATACAATCATAGTAGTATTAAATTCATAGATATTCGAGATTAAAAACAGATATGATTGAATATTTTTATATTAACAATACTATAAATATTAATGATTTATGTATAAATTTATTAGACACATCGATCAAAAACATACTTTCAAATAGATTATTTAGTAAATATAAGATCAATAAAAAAAGAGTGTATAAATTTAATAAAATATCTTGTTATAGTTTTTTTTTTCATTTTGAAATATTTTAAATCTTCATATGATTAAAATTTTTTTTTTTTTGTATGAAAAATAGTTCATTATCAATAAATAAAAGAAAATAGAAAATGATAAGAATAATTGACATATAGCAGATCTTAAAAAATTTTTACATATTATTAATAAACAAAAATTATATTGAATTAACATAAGATTAATCTTATATTTTTAAAACTTTATTTTAAGATTATTTTACAAAAAATTTATAATTTTTATCATCATATCAAACTCTTTCAATCATATATATTTTCTTACTTCTCAAAAAAAAAAAAAAAGAATTACATATGAATTTCAATTAGAATATTAATAACGAAAAAAAAAAAATATTTCAAATATTCTTCTTCTATAAAACATTCTAATATACATAAAAATATATTAACATAATAGCTAATGGTTTTCTTTTCTTAGTTATTCATTCCGTTTACAATCATATAATTGATCTACCAATATTTATCTTTATCAATATGTCATCATTTGACAGCTTAGTTATTTAAATCTTTCAATGATAACATTGACATAATAATAATTGACATAAAACAAAAATGAATATAATGACATCTCAATGTTTTCTATTGTATATATATATGTATAAAGCAATGATACAGAATCATCATAGTTATCGATAATATCTTCGATATTATTCTTTGTTACTGATACAAAAAAAAAGACAAAAAAAAAATAAGCAAAATGTCAAACAGTTCGTCTGGTAAAAGTATATCATTTTGATAAATATAAGACATAAAAAAAAGCTAATCGCCATTTTTATTTGATTATTATGTTACTTCGACTAAGCGTCAGACGTACCATATATATGATCCATATTAAAATCATTGTCCCACGGATTAGACGACGTATTAGGTACCGGTGAATCATTACGATACATAGAAAAATCTGTTTGATGTTTTTTTCGTACTGATGGTTTGACTTTTGCTAAATTACTGAAATGTTTTAATAAGGCAAATGATACAACCATATTTATTACAAGACCTAATATTGAACCAAAACCATTGACTAACCTATCAAATAAAATAAAAATAAACTTCGATTATTTTATTTAATTAGTTATTAAACTTACCAAATAACCCAATAGGTTGTTAAACATCCAGCAACATCAATTGTTGGCATGTTTACTTGTTATAAATCAATTGTTTGAATGATGTTAATGAAATAAAAATGAATGCTTTTAAATTGAGTGTTTGAAACAAATATGAAACGGTTGTTTTTTTTTGTTCTTTCATTTTCTCGAAGTAGATTTGTACTTTTTTTGTAAATATGAAAAAAAATTTAATGAAAAAATAAATATATTTTGATTGTATAATATTGTTTTGTTTTTCATTAGACGAGAGAAATATCTTATAATTGCTTTCGACTTTTAAAAACGAATAACAAAAAAAAACAAACAATTCATTGAAGAAAAAAGAAAAGAAATATTATGTAGTTCTTTGAATGTTTTAATAAGGAAGAAGATCAAAAAAGTTTTATCATAACCTCTATAATCAGTATAAAAAAAAATAAATGGTAATTTTCAGATTGTGTGTTTTTTTCAAAAAACAAAAATCAAAACTTAAATATTTCAATTAGATTTAAACTAGAAAAATTTTATTATATCTCAAGGTTTGTAAATTATCAACAAACTATCATTACATATGATAAACTAGTAGAGCAATATGTTAATTATAATATGTCATAATACAAGGAAGGAAAAAAAAAACATGACAGATGAATTTGTCTATTATAACTGCGGAAGGACGACTTAGTCTAGTTTTATCATTATTAACTTGTACATTTGTTAATAATTGTCTTTTTATTTAAATTCAAATATATTTTATAATTTACATAAAAGAAGAAAAAAAAAAAAACATTCTATTTTAATGAAAGATAATACCTTTGCTATTTTAACATATGATTTTTCTAATATGAACTATATTTCAAAACACTACCACACACATAGTTTATGTAAACATGTGAATAACATACAATCGGATGTACTTTTGTCAATAGAACATACATACATTGATAGATGATTACCTCATATATTATAGAGTTTTTGTAGGCGAAATGGATTGTAGCAAAAAAACAAAAATTCGTAAGCCGATAAATGTCGATTGTTTTTAACTACATAGTTCTTTTTTTTTGTTTTTCGTTCACTCATTGATCATTGTTCTTATCATCAACAATACATCTTTCGAGTCAAAAAAATATTTATTTAACTTGAGCTTATATTACAATTGAACAACATACAATAAGTGATACGTTTATTGATTACAAGCAAAAAAGGAACGATAGCAAATGTTTTATAGATATTTATCTATTGGTCATATTCTATACTTTTTATTAAATATTCAAAGTAGGTTTTTGGTTTTCTTTTTTTTCAAAAAATTCATTCATAAAAAAATTTATTTTAGATGTTATTACAGATAATATTGGATTTATTTGTCCTAAAGATGGACGTTGGCCACATCCAGCTGATTGTGAAAAGTAAGATAGAAATATGAATTAAAAAAAAATATATTGTATATTTTTAATAGATTTTATACTTGTAATGCAGGCATTGGCGTCGAAGCATGGTAATCCTATATCGAATCATTCATTTCCTTTTCTTTTGTCCTTTCAACAAAACTTGAGAAAATAATCATACCGATTAAAAATAATTCATTATTAACGGAAACTATAGAAAAAAAAAAAAAAAAAAATATTTTTTGTTTTTGTTTTTCATTTTACATTCAATATTTAGAAGAAAAAAAAAACATTCTAGGTGTGGAAATGGTATGACCTATGATGTTGAAAATAGACGATGTGATTTATCAAAACATATTGATTGTAGATATGGTGAAAGACCTAAACGAATATTATCTTCAAATTGTATGTAAATATTATTTTATTAAAATAATAACAATAATTATTATTATTATTTTAATTAGTTCAAACAGAATCTATAACTGATCCAATTCTAATAACAACTATACCTAATTTATTAGATAATGAAATTAAAATAGAAAAATCATCATATCAAACAATAATTAAATTAACAACAATAATAACAAATAAATTAATAAATAATAAAATATTTCAATCAAAAAATGATCTTATTGAAAATAATCCATGTAAATTTCAAGAAAATAAACCTGATCAATATAATTGTCAATGTAAATAAAATATTTTTGAATTTTTTTTATTAAATATTATTTTATTTTATTTTTCTTTAGCTTATTTTACATGTAAAGATAATTTAATAACACGTATACAATGTCCTGATAAACATTTATTTGATGAATATCTTCGTTCATGTAATGATTATCGAAAAGTTTTTTGTGGAAATCGACCAACAGATCAAAGTGGAAATGATCCATGTAAATTCTTTTTTTGTTTTCTCTTTTCAAAAAAAAAAATATTTTAATTAAGGTTTGGGTCAACCCAATGGTTGGTATGCTGATTATGGTAATCAATGTCGTTCATATTATTTATGTACAGAACAACGTAAAATTAAAATGGATGAATGTCCAATAGGATCAAAATGGAATCCACAACGACTTCGATGTGATGATCCAAGATATATTGCTGCACCTTGTAAATTAATTCTTTTTTTTGAAGTTTACTTTTTGTTTTTTTTATTAAAGGTGGATATCGTCGTAATAATAGTGGATCTTTATTGAGTATGTATTTTTAATTCTATTTATAATATGAAGAAATATGTGTTTTTTTTTTGAAGATCGTCATTATTATTATTCGACTATGCTCATGACTTTTTTCTTATTTTTTTTTTTGTCTTCTTGTTAACATTATAACAAATTACTTTTTTTGTTTTTTGCTTACATATTATAATAAAAAATGATCTAATCTAATGTGTTGTAACACATTGATCTCATATGTGTATATGATAGATGATAGAAAAATGAGAAAAAGGAACATAAAATGCACAGTATTATCATTAATCCATCTTTGCGTGCTTTCACAAGTGTATATGTGCTTACAATCTTGGATTTTTTTTAATGAAGAATATAAGTTAGTTGCATCGTTTTGCATGCAATGCTATTTTCTAGTATGACGAGTTTCCTATTATATTTAAATGGACATGATGATGAGAGTGCATATAAAGATATGAGAATAAGACAAGACAAGAGAAGAAGAAGAAGAAGAAGAAGAAAAAGATTAGTTTTTCTGCTTCGATTCCCTTTCAGCTATTGACATTCCCAGAGAGATGTAGATGCCATTATATATTTTTTTTTTGTCGAATATAAAAGGTAGGATCAATGTATTATAAATACTCTATTTTTTTTTTCTTTTTCTTTTTGATTAGTTTCATTAAGTAAAAAAAAATAACAATTGCGTTGAATTCATTTGATTATTAATATTCTTTATTTTTCAAATAATCATGTTTGTATTTTCGTTTTCTTTATTTCGATTCTTACCTCGTTGAAAATTCTATATTAGAGATTCATAATCAATAATTTTTCTATTACGCTATAGAGTAAAAGAAAAAAAAAATGATAGAAATATACATGTATATCACTGTGACTATAATAAATAGAACATACCTTGTCTTTGTATTCATCGTTCATATATGAGAAAATTAACTTCCCTTATATAAATGATGAATACGAGAATAATGTATGTTTCACTTATTATAATCATATTCATTCAAGTTTTTCATTAAAATTTTACAAAAAAGAAGATTATATTTATTTATGATTTTAATAATTTTTCTTTAGTATGTTTTTCATCGCTCTATTTTTTATATTTCTATTCTCTTAGTAAGCATTCAATAGTTGTCTCAATAGGAAAAGAAGATTTTCATTGGTCTCTAACGACGAAATAACGAGAGGACGAGTTGCTAGCATCAGCATAGCATAGTAGTAGTAGTAGTAGTAGTAGCTTGACTATTATTATTTGTCTCGTGTGAATCCATCGAAGAGAAGAAAAAAGAAGAGAAAAGGACGAACGTAGCAAAAAAAAAAAAGGAGGAGAAAAAGTAATGAAGAATGGTAAGGAAAAAAAAATGGTTGATTATAGCAATGCTTATACTTTTAAAAATCTTTCTCTTTTTCTTCGACTTAGACTGAGTTCCATAGACGACGATGTGATGACACTTTTGGCATGTGAACAACCAACAACAGCAACAACAACAACCAAAAAGAAAAATAACTAGAAGACAGAGAGAAAAAGACTAACAGTATAGTAAAGATAACAAAAAAAACATTTTGACATTTACAATAACATGCAATGAAGACCTTCCATTGCCATCATGAATCGCTTGATTACATGCATACAAAAAAATCACACCAAGTGTAAACTGTAGCATCACGCCATCAGTATACAGAATAAATGTCTATCATAACGGATGAAAAAAACAGCTGACAATACGGCCTTCCATTCCATTCGATCGCGTGAGTCATTATATGCTCGTCAATGTTGAAAGCAAAGTAAAGTAGCAATCATATTGAATTTTTTCTTCTATCTTCATTCCTGAATCGTTGTTCACCTCAACATTATTATCTTTATTGTTGGGTTCTTTTTTTTTTCTGCTCGTAGGAACGAGTGTAGGCAAGGTCGACTATATAAGTCTGTCAATATATATTTATATTAGAGTTTATTATAAATCGTTCAATTTATATTTTCTTTCTAGAAGAAATTCTAAATAAGAATATTATTGTTTGTTTGTGTGTTTTTCTTTTTGTTTTATTTAGATATGATTATCATTTAACAATATATATAAATATTTACAAAACAAAAAAAAAAATGAATCAAAACGAAGACGATGATGATGGAATTATTGTCGATTCTTCAACAATAAAAACTGATTCAGTTTCTTTATCAGCTAAAATTGTTTTTATTATTATTTGTGCATGTAATATGATTCAAAATGCAATTGTTGGTGGTTCAAATAATGCTATAATGACAACACTTGAATCAGGTTTTTATATGACATCAACTGAAACAGGTTTATTTCAATCTGTTTATGAGCTTGTTGCTATTTTTACTTATCCACTTATTGGTTATTTTGGTGATCGTAGTGGTCGAAAAATACGTTGGATATCTATATCAATGGGTATACTTGCTGGTGGTTTTCTTGTTATGTCATTTCCACATTTACTTGAATCAAAACGTGGTAAACCACCATTAGAACCACATATTGCTGATCATTTAACATTATGTAATCCAAAACGAAAAATTAGTGTTTGTACTATATCAAATAATCTTAGATTTTTAAGTCATTTAAAATATGTTTTCTATTTATCAAATATAATTAATGCATTTGGATCAGCAGCTTTACCAACATTAGCTGTGACATTAATTGAAGATTTATTTCCACAAGAAAAAGCACCTATTGCTCAAGGTTAATTTTTATTTTAATATTTTGCGAAATAATGATTTTGTTTTTGTATTTTCAGGTATATATTATGCTGTTGGAGGAATAGGTATTGGTCTTGGATTTCTTGCAACATCACAATTTTTAAAAGTTTATACCTATATTAAAAAACCACTTTGGTTAACACCAGTCTATTCTGAATGGGTTGGAGCTTGGTGGTTAGTTTATGCATTAGGTACTTGTATAAGCCTTATACTTTGTCTTTCACTTTGTATATTTGATATTGGTAATCGTCATCGTCAATATCAAATAAGAAAAAAAGAAATTCAATCAACATTAAATCAAACATATCAATTATTAACAACATCAACAATAAAACAAAATAATTTAATAGAAAATAATCATTATTTATCATCACGTACAAGTTCATCAACAACAAATTTAAGTTCAACTGTTAATATTATATTAAATGATAAAGAACAAATACCATCTATTGATATAATTGAAGATAAATGTTTAATAACAACAACAACAACATTAAATAAATTTAAAGATTTTTTTTATGATATTTTTTCATTAATTAAACATTTACTTCTTAATTTACGTTATATGGGTATAACTTGTTGTGCTATTGTTGAAGCATTATTAATTAAAGGATATTTGGCTTTTTTAAGTAAACATATTGAATATCAATTTCGAACAACATCATCACATTCAAGTGTTTTTATTGGAATTATTTCATTATTTTCTGTATAAAAAAAAAAAATATTCATCAATATTAAATACAATTTGAAATGTTTCTTTATTTATTCTAGGTTATTTTTGGTACACCAGTAGGCGCTTATTGTGTTAAACGATATAATATGAATGGTCGTCAATGTGCAAAATTTTGTTGTATAATTCTCGCTATTTCATCTGTGATTTTTCTTGGATTATTACTACATTGTCGTGAACCGACAATTGGTAAAAAAAAAAAATTATCATCGACTTAAAATCATTTTTTTTGAATCTTAAGGTACAACACATTCCATGCCTGTTATATCAACAGCATTTGATGATGATTCATTTGATGAATTTGCATTAGAATCAGATCGTGTTGAAAGTCCATGTAAACGAGAATGCAGTAAGAATATAATATAAAGAAAATAATTCCTAAGAAAAAAAAAAAAGCATTTTTTTTTTTCATTTTTTTTTTTCTTCTTTTTAAGAATGCGATATGAATATATATCAACCAGTATGTGATGTAGCAAATCGAGAAACTTATCAAAATCCATGTTTATTAGGTTGTAAAAGAATTCTTAAAGGAAAATATGCTGATTGTTTATGTTTACCTAATAATAGTACAGTTAATGTTGGTAAGTGTTTAAAATTTTTTGAAAAAACAAAACAAAAAAAAATTTTGTTTTTTTTTAAGGTCGATGTAAAGAACGTAAATGTACAATGAATTTTCGAATTACATTATGTGGTGCATTTATTGTTGTATTTATGTCATGTTGTGTTATTGTACCAGCATTAAAATGTGTATTACATAGTGTTGAATTAACACATCGAGCATTTTCACTTGGTTTTAAATCTACAATGACAAAAACATTTGGTTATTTACCAGGAACAATATTATTTGGTGCAATTATTGATCGAACATGTAAAACATGGATACGTGAAACATGTGGACTTAAATATCAATGTAAACATTATAATAATAAACGTATGGCAATATCATTAGCATTACTTGGTTGTGGTTTTCGAAGTTTATCAGCATTATTTTGTGCTATATCATGGTATGCATATATTAAAAAACCTGATATAGAAGAAAGAAAAAAATCTAATGAACAAAATTCAGAAATTCTAACAGTTAATATAGTTAATCGTGTTGATATTTAATTTTGTTGTATAAGAAACAAAAAATAATTATATATTTTTATTCTTTATCTTGTCATTTAGACTTACCTAATTCCATTTGTGAATTTGTATCAATATATTGTTATGTTAATTTATAAAAATATATGTATATGTCATGTGTAATTTTCAATGGATTTTCTTCTTTATGATGTGTTATATAATAATGATAAATAAATAAATAAAAGAATAGAATTTGAAAATATATCAATAAAAAAAATAACAATAACATATGAAAATAAAATGATATATATTATTGTAAGATTTTTAATAGAGTTATTGAATAGATCATATTTTTATTTCATTTTTATAAAATGATTATATTTATTACTAAAGAAGATATTCTGAACATTAATCATATTAACTAATAATCGATCAACTCTTTTAAATATATTTCAATAACAATCATTTCTTTTGCAATGATTCTATTAATATATTTCAGATCTTTTTATAAATAAGGACAACAAAAAAAAATATAATAAGATTATTTGATTATTTTTCCTATCATCTTTGTTATTTTCTTTCTAGCGTTAAACTTTGATAAAAGACAAACTAATGTTATTTCTTTTTTTTATATATAATCAGTTTTATGTCAAGATGACACAACGATAAAAATTTATCATTATAACACCTTAAAATCTTATTTTATACAAACTAATAATCGTATATTTAGTGACACAAAATTAATCGAAGTTATATAAATTTACTAAAATATTTATTCGCATATTTAAGCTTCGCTACTTATTTCTACATGTATTATCTTATTCAAAAAGTAAATCGGTAATAATAAACTTATTGATTGATATCTTTTCGATTAGTGAAAAAAAAAGAAAGAAGTTTTTAGTTGTAGTTAACCGAAAGAACACAACAATAGAATGAAGAAGTAATGTAATTGTTGAAATAGAAATAAATTATAAAGTTTTGTCTTAATATAATTACCTAAACCTTTCTTTGTCTCATCGATGGTTGATATCAATTAATAATTCAATTAATTTCTATGTATTCAGTGTCAATAAAACAAGAAAAAAAAATCACACAGATATTTCTAAGAAGAATACATTTTTCTTTTCGTCTACAATTGCCGACGTAGAATGTTGTTAGAGATACAATATCTTCTGCTAATATGAAAAATTTATCTAGATTTAAAAAAAAAAAAACTCCGTTCCTCAAGAAAATCAAACAGTTAATTTCTCTTCAAACAATAAAACAAAAGATCAGCAAATTTACTTAATATCAAATAATATTTTCTTAATAATAGTTTGCCAGCATAAGAACAAAAAGTTTAGATTATTATTGCTTCCAGAATCAAATAGAACATGCAGTTGATTCATGGATCATCTAATATGAATAGAGTTACAATACTTTATAAAATAGGTAAAACTACGATGCAATGTTTCGCATCGTATTCTTTCGGCGAGTTTTTGTTTTACTTTCTCGATACTTAACTCAAAAATGTATAATAAACTTCAGTGAAATATATAGGAATCTTACAATTTAGTCTTTTTCAAAATTTATTGTCTTTAAAATACCTTTTTCAAACGTTAAATAAATCTTATTGATGAAACATTGAATGCTTTTTTTGAATTTCAACTATGTGTAATGATGAAGTTTTAATAATCTTAAACATACTAGACAGTTTTTCTGAGAATCTGATTGAGTAAAAAGAAATAGATTGACTTTGTTTAAATCAGCTGTCGTCAGTATTCGAGCAAAGATGAACCAATCTATCTACTAGTACCAATGGATCAATGATAGTATCTTGTTTCAGCAGTTATAATTTCAATTATTTTAACTCGATCGCAGAAAGGAAAAAAAATACAAGGATCAATCACATCATGAAGTTATGTATTATTGC